CCGTGCCCCCGCAGTCCAGAAGTACCACACGGTGAACGGGCACAACTGCGAGGTGCGCAAGGCGCTGTCCAAGCAGGAGATGGCGAGCGCCTCTGCCAGCCAGCGAGGTGAGCCCCCCGCCCTCGCCCCCGCCCGGCCCCCCGCCCCCGCTGTGGCTGCACGCGCTGCCTGTGCTGTGCCTAAAGGCTGGCCCCCCCCCCCGCCGCCCCCCCCTCCCCTCTTAGGCCGCAGCGGCTCCGGAAACTTCGGCGGCGGCCGCGGAGGAGGATTCGGCGGCAACGACAACTTCAACCGCGGCGGCAACTTCGGAGGCCGCGGTGAGTCGGGGGGGGGACGCTCCCCGGCAACTGGGGCATGATGGGACCCGACGGGGAACACTGGGACCTGCCAGGGAACACTGGGAGCCACTGGGACCTGCCAGGGAACATTGGGACCTACCAGGGTACACTGGGACCTGCCAGGGTACACTGGGAGCCATGGGGAGCCACCAGGGCACACTGGTAGTGACTGGGACCTACCAGGGCACACTGGGAGCCACTGGGACCTGCCAGGGAACACTGGGACCTGCCAGGGCACACTGGAGCCACTGGGAGCCACCAGGGTACACTGGGAGCCACTGGGACCTACCAGGGCACATTGGGAACCACTGGGACCTACCAGGGCACACTGGGAGCCACCAGGAGCCACCAGGGCACACTGGGAGCCACCCCAACACACTGGGTCCTACAGGGACATACCAGGATCCATGGGGACCTATTGGGACCCACTGGGTCCTATAGGGACACACTGGGCCCTACTGGGACCTACTAGGACTTGCTGGGAACTATTGGGGCTTACTGGGACCCACCAGGACCTCGTGGGATCTCCTGTGACCCATTGGGACCAACTGGGCTCTATGGGGACCTACAGGGACCTGGCAGGACCCACTGGGACCCATGGGGACTTACCGGGACTTATAAGGACCCACTAGGACCTACTGGGACACATTGTGCTCCATGGGGAACTACTGGGACCCTCTGGGACTTATTGGGACCCACTGGGACCCATTAGGGCTTACTGGGACCCACCAGAAGGCACTGGCCCTATGGAGACCCATGGGGACCTACCAGGACCCACTGGGACTTACTGGGACCCCTCCTGGGTCTTACCAGGACCCACCAGGCCCTATAGGGACCTACAGGGACCTGGGGGTCCCCCTGGTACCCCCTTTGTGACCCCGTTTGCCCCGTGCCCAGGTTACGGGGGCGGAGGCGGCCCCGGCTACTCGGGGGGTAACCGCGGCTACGGCGGCAGCGGCTCCTACGACGGCTACAACAACGGCGGCGGCGGCTTCGGCGGCGGCAGCGGCGGCAGGAGACCCGCCCGGGGGCCAGCGCTCGCCGTGCGCAACGGGCTGGCCGAGGCGGGCACAGGTGGGAACCCCCGGGATGCCAGGGAACACCCCAAACCACCAGGGAACACTCCTGGCCACCAGGGAACACCAGGGACCACACTGGGATGCCAGGGGACCCCCTGGGATGCCAAGGAACACCCCTGGTCAGCAGGGAACGCCCCTGATCACCAGGGAATACCAGGGAGCACCCTGGGACACCAGGGAATACCCTGAGATGCCAAGGAACACCCCTGGTCACCAGGGAATATCAGGGAACACCCCTGGTCACCAGGGAACCCTGTGGACCACCCCCGGCCACCAGGGAACACCCTAAGATGCCAAGGAACACCCTTGCTCACCAGGGAATATCAGGGAACACCTCAAACCACCAGGGAGTACCCTGGGACACCAGGGAACACCAAGGAACATCCCTGGGATGCCAAGGAACACCCCCGGCCACCAGGGAATATCAGGGAACACCCTGGGACACCAGGGAACACCATGGAACACCCCTGGCCACCAGGGAACACCCTGGGATGTCAAGGAACACCCTGAGACACCAGGGAACACCCTGAGATGCCAAGGAACACCCCAAATCATCAGGGAACACCAGGGAGCACCCTGGGACACCAGGGAACACCCTGGGATGCCAGGGAACACCCCAAATCATCAGGGAACACCATGGAACACCCCTGGTCACCAGGGAACACCCCTGAGTACCAGGGAATATCAGGGAACATCCTGGGATGCCAAGGAACACCCCAAACCACCAGGGAACACCCTGGAACATCAGGGACCACCCTGGACCACCCCTGGCCCACCAGGGACCACCCTGGACCACCAAGAAAGTCCAGTGATCATCTCTGGGCTCCCAGTTATCCATTCCCCCAGTTAATCCCCGTTCCAGTTAAATTCTTTCTAGTTAAACCTCTCCCAGTGTCTCGAGGCTCCCAGTTAACTACTCCCATCCCTGGGGGTGCCCTTGACCCCCCCATTACCCCCTGTCTCCCCCCCCCATTCCCAGGGTGCCCCCCCTGGCCCCCTCATCCCCCCCCCAATCCTTGGGGTGCCCCCTGACCCTGTTTCCCACCCACCCCCAGGGGTTTTGGTGCTTTCAGGATTTTAGGGACCCTTTGGACGTGCCCCCAAGGGCCACAGGGGTTTTTGATGACCCCAAAATTTTGGTGCCCCCCCTGACCCCCTGTTTTTTCCTCCCCCAGGCAGCAATTTCGGGGGCGGGGGCAGCTACAACGACTTCGGCAGCTACAACAACCAGGCCTCCAGCTTCGGGCCCATGAAGGGCGGCAGCTTCGGGGGGCGCAGCTCGGGGCCCTA